CTGGTACCTGTTTCCAGGGGGGATGGAAATTTTGCAAGAATTTCCTCAGATATTTTAGGGGTTTCCATTTCCAAAAAAGGGAGAAACCCCCTAAAGTTTAATAAAAAGAACAGGCACCTTAGAGACTAACAAATTTATTAGAGCATAAGCTTTCGTGGACTACAGCCCACTTCTTCGGATGCATACTGAAGTGGGCTGTAGTCCACAAAAGCTTATGCTTTAATAAATTTGTTAGTCTCTAAGGTGCCTGTTCTTTTTATTAAACTTTAGGGGGTTTCTCCCTTTTCTGGAAATGGAAGCACCTAAATTATCTGAGGAAATTCTGACAAAATTTCCATCCCACCTGGAAACAGGTACCAGATGTCTTAGAGAGTCGGTTGGCATAAATTTTTGAGCCCAGATTTTAAGTGTGGATCATTTCAGGGAACACTGGATAAGCTTCTGAACCTTTGTTTGCTTTTGTAAACCAAATCTCTGAAGCTTTTCAGGCACAACCATTGCTGGCCATTACTAGTGATTAGCAAACACCAAATGCCTGTCTACACAGTACATTGGTCTACACCAGAGGAGTGTAAATTCTAGTGTACATTAACATGTCACACACTAAGTAGCCCATGTGGAATCTGCTGGTGCACACTAAAAGTTCCCAAGTACATGTTAATATGATATTGTTTGAAACAGGACTACATTACCGTGCACTAGGGAATTTTAGTGCAGGCCAGCAGGGTTTACATGGGCCAGTTAGTGTGCGACATGCTAGTGCGCACTAGAATTTACAGCCCTCTGGTGCGGACAAATGCACCATGTAGACATGCCCTTCATTTGGGTTTGGTTCAAATAGGTATCTGAGGTCTCGGATGATTATCTGAAGCTTATTGAACAGATCTGAACTTTCTGAGTTTGCAAAACTGGGATAGCACTGTCACATGATCAGGTTTTCTAATGAGATTTCTGGCACTTTGGCTTCCAGCTGGAAATCCCAAGTGAATAAACTCCCATGGTTATTTTGGCACTTACAGTTCCACATATCATGACTGTGATAATAAAACAAATGTATTTGAAACCTTTCCTTGACCCCAAATCATGGGTTTTTTAAAAACATGTTTAATTCTAGATGTAACCCCTTTGGGGTTTACAGAACAAACATGGCCCCTTTAAATCCTTTTCCTACGGGGGCAGGAGGAGCAGTGAGAGAAAGGAGGGAAACTCCAGAGAGAGAAGGGCCGCAGCCCACAGGCCCTCACAAAGTGAAGCAGCAGAGAACCTGCCTGAAGCCTGGGAAGGATAGGGTGGCTGATCAGGGTAGGGTGACCAGATGTCCTGATTTTATCGGGACTGTCCCGATATTTGCTTGTTTGTCCCGCATCCCGACCGATGTGCGGTCGGGACACTGGACAAACAAGCAATTTTGCCCTCCCGGAAGGGTTCTCGCACACACCCCCCGCGACTCCTCCCCTTCCTTCCCCCATTGGCTCCCTCCCCAAATCCCCGCCCTGGCCCCACCTCTTCCACATGCATGTGGCATTCCTCCTCCCTCCCAGGCTTGCTGCTGTAATGGTGGTGTAAGCCTGGAGGGAGGGGGTGGTGGCTGGCTTCCAGTTCCTGGAGCTGGTGAGTACGGGCACCGGGCGGGGGGACTGGCAAAGGAGCTGCTCCCCCAGGAGGGAGACAGGGGGGTGGCTCTGGACCCCGGCAGCGGTGGGGGAGAGCGGCTCGGGGCCGCATGAGTGGCCATGTAAAGTTTATTGGCTTGGGAGGGACCCCGGCCGGCTCCTCACCCCTGTAGGGGGGTAGCGTCCCCGCCCCGCGCCAGCATGTCGCGCCGGCCGCTGCAGGCCAGGTAAGGAGCCGAGTCCCCCCCCCCCCTTCATCCTGGCTCCTCAGCTAAGCCCCCCGTCTCCCTCCTTGGGGAGCAGCTCCCTTGCCAGCCCGGTGCCCCTACTCACCAGCTCCAGGAAGTGGAAGCCGGCCACCACCCCCTCCTTCCAGGCTTGCGCCACATTCCAGCTGCAAGCCTGGGAGGGAGGAGGAATGCCGCTCAGCTGAGGAGCCAGGACGAGGGGGGGAGGGAGGGATTCGGCTCCTTACCTGGCCTGCGGTGGCCGGCGAAACATGCTGGCGCGGGCTGGGGACACTACCCCCCTACAGGGCAGGGCGAGGAGCCAGCTGGGGCTCCCCCCCAGCCAATAAACTTTACGTGCCCACTAGCGCGGCCCTGAGCCGCTCTCCCCTGCCGCTGCTGGGGTCCGGAGCCCCGCGCCTCTCGCTCCAGCGGCTCCTTCCCTGCGGGGCGGCAGGACGTTCCGCATGTGCCCGGGGGCTCGTGGGGGGGGGGGGAGGAGGCGGGGCGAGCGGCCGCAATGCGGCCAGGGCCTGCTAA